CCCCCTTCTCTTTAGCTCGGGATACCATATAAGCTTGACTGCCTGAAAATCTCTGAGTCTCACATTTTTTATGGGGTCCCAGTTCATACAAAATTAAGTTTTTCTCCTAAATTTCTGTCTTATGTCAATTTAATTATTAGATCAGTCAAAGAACCTAAAAGGGAAGAAGGGGGAGGTTTGCCACTCTTACAGCAAATGACAAGAAATAATCACAATCAAGTACAAGTCAAAATGGGGCAGGGTATTGATCAGTTACATGAAAGATCGATAGAATGTTAAGTTTAATTCAATGGGCTAAATGAGTACATGTTTGTGGGTGGTTGCCATACTAAAGGCTCAGAACTGGGATGGAGAATATGGACATCTTATCCAAGGTCATTTTTGGCTTGAATTTTCCAGGAGGACAGATTTGCCCTTCTGGTTCCTCTGCAACTAACCCCAAGCGGTAGGGCTCATCTAAGGCTCCTGGAGGCAGAGCGAGTGGGTCCCTCCCTGTGGTCCTTCAGGTCTGACCCCAGTAGTCACAGCCAGTCCCTCTGAGGCTCCGAGGCAAATACGTGATCAGTCCTCACTTCTAGTACCTCTCCTCGAACCAACTCTCCTCCTCCTCCTCCTCCTCCTCCTCCTCCTACTTCTTCTTCTTCTTCTTCCTTCTTCTTCTTCTTCTTCTTCTTCTTCTTCTTCTTCTTCTTCTTCTTCTCCTCCTCCTCCTCCTCCTCCTCCTCCTCCTCCTCACTCTTTAGCCTGCTCTACTTATTGGTCTTCCCAGTCAATTAATCTGTTTTATCACTCTACTACAGTGATTGTATATTCACAAAAATAGTAACCTAAAATACAGTTCCTATGTATAAAGTGCAAAAATCACCCAGAGGGCAAACGCTGTTTGTGTATGAAGTAATCCCTCTTTCAGAAGCTACAAGGATGAAAGGAAGTTGAAACAGGATTGTGACAGCTTTTTGAGAATAAAACACTTTTAATGTATTTTGGTTTGAGCGTATTCACTCTGCAGCTCTTTAGTTTTGGGGGAGAGGTTATTACTTTTGGCTTTATTCTATATAAGAGACTTTGAAATGAATAATTTCTAAATGCTCTTCAAGCTCCTAGTGGAGAATAAGCTAATCTTAGTAAGCAATATAAAATCATGTATAGAAACGTACCTTCAGGACTGCAAACAGCCTGTTCACAATTATTCCAAGGGGCTGAGTTTGAAGCTCATTGATCTTTGGGGTTTCACTAGCATTTCTGATAATGTACTTTGGGACACTGATCTGCATCAGACACAAATGAGGCACCATTCACTTCCAGGAAATGACTGTGCCAATAATATTTGATATTATAATTATTTTTTAGAGTGAATTTATCTTTTAGCTCTTATGAAAACTTTCACAAAGGAGAATTGACTGTCTGTAACCACTGTAGCATGGGTACATTTCACCCTGGCAAACTGAATTGTTTGAATGAAACCAAAGCATCTTCCCTGACAATACTGTTCATTAGCCTTCCACTCCCAATCTGTCACAAATCCTAAACCTTCTACCAAATCTCTTCCAATTCAGTGTATTTTCCTCCATTTCCATTTTACGACCTAAGCAAAGCTACTACTTACTCTTCCTGACTTATAGTTGTTCTTCCCACAGTCAAACTGGCCTATCACATTTTCCCCCAACAATATCCAGAAGGATCGCTTCAAAATGCAAATCTGGTATCATTCCCCTGCTTAAATCCTTTTGAGCACTTCTGATTTCTCTTCAAACAAAGAGAATTCTAATCATGCTCCACCCAGCCGGACCTTGGGTATCTCTCAAAGGGCATCTCGTCATTCTCTGTGCTCCAGCCACACTGGTTTTCTCTCAAGGCCTTAAGTAAGCCAATGATGTCTGCACAAGGCTTTGTCACACCGTGTTCCCTCCGACTGAAGGCACTGTCCACTCCTATCCCTTTCTCAGAGCTGAGCTCAAGGCTCACCTGTTGCGAGAAGCCTCATCTGACACCTCCATCTCTCACTCCTGGCTTTTGTTAGGTTCCCTTGACACCTGCTCTCGAAGGACTAACTCCTTCATTCAGAGCCTGTATCTCAGCTTATTAATTCATTAATCTTCATTAATCAATAATCTATTGATTATTGATTGATCAAGGATTATTGATCAATCAATAATATCTACTTCCCTCATTAGAGTGCAAGCTCTCCAAAACTTGGATTTGTTTTCAACTCCCTGTTTTCTCACCAGAACCTAAAAGAGTTCCTGTTGCCTATTAGGAGCTCAGTGTATATTTACTGAAAGGACACATGGATGGATGGGTGGATGACATGCAGGCTCCTCACTGAGACCACCATAATGCAGCTGTATAATCTGGCTCGGTGCCCCAGGCCGATGGCCAAGTTATATTTTATCATGAAAAGCCAAATTCCAGTCATGGTCAATTATTTGAGATACTCTTGGGCAGAAGAAGGGGTAAAAAGCTATTGGATGTTGTTTCTGATAGAAATGACTAGTTCTGGGCTAAAAATAACAAGACAATCTATGACTTTAAGCTTTGAGTTTACTAGAAAGAAGAATGATTTAATCATTAGAGCTGTTTAAGAACAATGAGCTGTCTTAAGAGGCAGTGGGTTCTCTGTCACTACCTCTCACTGTAGAAAGTGGCCGGCTCTCTATCAGGGGAATATGGAGAAGTCTCTGCCCTCCGAAGAAGAGAAACTAGCCCTCCACAGGTAAGTTAGTTCCATGAAACAGGTGTCTCAGGAGGTATGCAGATCAAGTCTCCCTTCCGTGTTGATAGCATGGGAGAGACACAGACTCCAGAGAGACACAGACTCCAGAGAGATAGCATGGGAGAGACACAGACTCCAGAGAGATGGAGACACCACATCGTGTCCCCCAGCACGGCAGCCATTGTATCTCACACACAGTGGTACCAAGGAAGCCTTGGTGGTACCAAGGATCTCACTTTCCTTAACAGTCAGGTGTACATTTCTATGTATTATATCATTTATAATTTTCAACCTTTTGCTCTAATCTTACAGAGCTTTCAAGACCCTGATCACATCTCCTGTGAGCTCTACATCCTCCTGTTCTTCATCTCTCTGCCTGTAGCAGTCTGTCCCATCTATTGATTATTGACTCTGTCTCCACTCATGGTTTGCCCCGGTCTCCTCTACCTTCCATGAGGTGAGGTCATGGGGCAGAACAGCACACAGCACTCTGAGTGTGAACATGCAGAGAGAACATTCCACAAAGGAATGTGATCACATCTCTACGCGGAGAGAACACTCCACAGAGAAAAAGTGAAACCCACAGGAAACAGAACAAAACCTGCTTTCCTACCAGAATAGTTCAGGGCAGCACGGATAAATGTTCCCATCCAAAGCTGGCCTAAGAATGACCTAGGAAGGCATTTTAGAGTTACAAAATAGGAACTTAGCTGACTTCTTCTATGGGCTACAGAGCTACCAGTCATTCTTCCTTCCTACCTGGTCCCAAATTGAATCACTTTTACCTAGTTGGGGTTATAAAATCCCAGGATCATTATTATCACAGCAAAATTGAGAAAGGCTGCAGAAGGGGAAATTGGGTGCTATCCCAGACAGAGAGAAGAATGACTTCTTGATTTAAGAGAAAAACCGGAAGACATTTCTAAATGTTGTCAACCTATGTCCGCCCAAACTTCTAGATTCCTCGCTCAGAATCAGAAAAGCCCTGCGCGCTCACTTCTGGGAGCAATTACGTGTAGTTACTGCCCTCTTGGGGCCAACTTCAAGAGCTGCACTTCTAACCTCAAACGGCCAAGAAAAATAAAATCTAGAACACAGAGATTTCTGCCAAGTGTCTCTGGTGCCACAGCATCTAGCCCCATGTGCTTACATCATTACCTACATTTACTGTTCACTCACTGGAGGATCATGTGTGGAAGCCGTGCTATTCATGTTGCACACACACAAATATTTTATATAAAAGCTGTTATAAATTTTGCTGTGGAAGTTGTATGTAGAATCCTAGAATTGCTGCATTTGGAGACTCTCACTGGGAGAGGCCCTTGGGTGAGAGGCTCCTTTGCTGGCTCTGGTCGTCATCCAGATGTAAAGCCAGATGTATCCGTTGCTCTTAGGGAACAAAATCAGGAACATAAAGCAACTGTAGGTACTTCAGATGGAGACATTTGTGATTTTCCGAATAATATAAAAAGACAGTCTTGGGGCGCCTGGGTGGTTCAGTCAGTGAAGCGTCTGCCTTTGGCTCAGGTCAGGATCCCAGGGTCCTGGGATCGAACCCCATGCCGGGCTCCTGCTCGGCGGGGAGTCTGCTTCTCCCTCTCCCTCTGTCCCTCCCCTCCTTGTGCTCCCTCATTCTTGCACTATCTTAACTAAATAAATAAAATCTTAAAAAAAAAAAGCAGTCTCTTGTGGGAAATTGGTACTGTCATCAGTGGCAGGAGATAGAAGAAGGAACCCCTGAGTCAGAAGGGAAAGATCTGTGGCCAGAAGAGGCCAGACTACAGCAGGCTGGGGACTAAGAAGGGGGTGGGCAGGGCATGTGGAGGGGAAATGGGTTTACATCCCAGGCTGCAGTGTTCGGTGCTATCATCTCGTTACGCTACCTCGGGCCTGTGGCGAAGGTTGAGAACACTACATACTTGCATAAATGGTACTTGAAGAACACATGGTGCCCTGAGTCCACGTCCAAGAAAGGGAGTCTCCAGAGGTCACCCAATGCCTCTGCAATTCTCAGAGAATAGCACACCTTCTACAGGTATTTTTAAAACAGATTCCACTCACTCGTTTTTACACCTTTGCTGAAAATCAATTGTCCGTGTATCAGTTGGTCCATTTCTGGAGTCTTTATTTTGTGCCACTGATTTTTCTGTCCTGTTGCCAATACCGCCTTGTCATAATTTTACTATCTATGTGGGATATCCAAAATATAAAATATTAAAAATTACAACTCAGCAATGTTTTTAGAAACTAAGATGAACATACAAAAATTGCATTTTTTTTATTTCAGGAAGACTCCAATAGAAAAAAAATCTTGAATAAAAAAGTACAATTTCCAGTAACAAATAAACTACGACTTACCTAAGAGCAGCTCACAAAAGATCCGTAAGTACTTTAAAGAAAAAATTTTAAAACTTTATTGAAAGATTTATAAGAAGATCTAAATAAATAAGAATATCTATGATATTTTTAATCAATAAAGATTCAATACAGTGAAAATGGCCACTTGTCAAATTAACCTATAAACTCCACACAGAGCCTCAAAGGGCTTTCTGGAGTGCTCTTCAGGATGAGCTTAAGACCTGCATAAAAAAGTAAAAACAAAAATACTCCAAGTTTAAGAGATTTGTTAGGAAGGACCATCCCTACTAGATATCAACACTTACAATGAATACATGAGAATTAAAGCAATCTGATAGTGGCACAGAGAAAAATCAACTAATAAATAGAGAAGGTGAGAACAGGATCACATGTCCATGAACATGGTCTATAACGAAGTGGCATTGCCTATCACAAGGAAAGAACAGGCAGCTCTAAGTGTTGGGACAAACGGCAATCTGTGGGGATAGATGATATGGAAGGCTTATCTCACATCATACAAAAATACATATATCAAATACCTAAATAGGAAGAGCGTGCTGCCGAGGAACTCACAGCAGAGTCTCTCATTGAGGTGGGGGAGGGCTTCTCAAATGAGGTACAAAAGGACAAGTCAGAGAGAAAAATTTGGTCACATGTAACTGCATGAAAGTTCTGAATCTTTTTGTGGGAAGAAACACACACACCAAAGTAAAAATACAAGCCCCAAATGAATAAAATGTCTGCAATGTGTAGAACTAATAGAAGTTTTGAATTCAGAACATATGAAGAACCACCCATTAATAAGGAAAAAGATAACCAGTCTGTCTGAAAAGTGAGCAAAAGATATGAATAAGCATTTATTCACATGTCTGATAAACGTTAAAAAGAAGATGTCTGGCCTCACTAGTAGTTGAGGCTGCCAGACCAAGTCTATGGAGTGGAAGACATAAGCCAAAGAACAAGAATGTTCATGAGCTGAGAATAACCGAGGGCGTGTGCAGGGGGCCCAAGTGCCCCTGTCAGTGGTCAGTCGACAGGCTCCAGTGACAGTGGTTTTTCCTGATGTTTTTCCTGCAGCCTGGCGACAACTGGAAAAACTACCTCCACGTGTAGCGTTCGTAAGTGAAAACTCAAACTATTATCAGAACTATTTTCTCAAATTAACAAATCCGACTGAAATGCTTGGAGTGATAAAGTCACCCGAGTGCCCCTATCCTGTGGATGAAAGGAGGAAGGGGAGCTGACTTTGGCTGAGTCTCTACAATACATAAACAGTCAGGTTAGCATGTTTCCGACTTGTAAGAATTCCACCTTATATAAGCCTTGTACATAATAACAATCGTGTTTTGATACATTTTATACACTGTGTAAGAAAATAAAGGCTTGGCTGTTTCTCTGAAGATCTTCTTTTATCTTGTAAATGTAAAATTTGCATTTTGCTCCAGAAGATCTGTTTACTTAAACTTTTGTTTATAAGTATTTGTCATATGGTAACATGAAGGAAAACTCATCCGGATCTCTCTGGAAGCCCCGTGACTTCAGGGGTGCACACCCTAGTACCGCTCCCCGAGGGTGACTCATCACTGGCCGGCACCTACCCATCCCCAGAGCGCTATCACATGGCGCCTGGCAGATGGAGAGGAGAGCCACCTTCTTACCTCTTGAGCTGGGGATGTTAATTCCTACCTTTCAAGAGTCGCTTGGAAAACAGGGGCTGTAAATACTCAGCATGGTGTGCCTTTCATTGATTACAATCCTGCAGTTACTACAGATTAAATTTGGTATCTGAAATGGAATGACTGACCCAAGGCCACACAGACAGTAAAGGGAAGTACAAAGACATCACATGCAAGTCTTCTGAATCCAGGCCCTCTGCTTTTTCTATTGCCAACTACTTTTGTATTGTGCAAAAAAAGTGTCAAATTGAGTAAGGGACAGACAGGGCTAAGTACGGAGAAATAGGTAGGGGCTATGGGATGAGGCTCACATAAATCCCCGAAATGCAGAGGTGTAAGGAAACCAAAGATAAGGGAACAAACCAGACCACCCTGCCCTGAGGTGTCAGAGGTGGGGTCTTGTTCTAACAGTGACTTGTGACCAGCAAAGCATTACCAGAGCCTAAAAAAGGAAGTAAGCCATGAAAGGTGTTATTACTAGTCCTTACTCAGTGGTGCTATCAGTAGAGATATTAAAAGGATTTAAGTTCCCTGGCCAGCCTTCAATAAAAGACCAACCCTAAAAGCCCTCAGGGGGCAACCTATCAGGACCCCTGTCACTCCCAGGATTTTTTTTCTGTATCCTTGCTTAATAAAACTATCGTCTTCCACCTCACTCTCCCACTTCAAAATGATTCCCTGTATTAAAAAAATTAAAAAGCTGGTGCTATTGGCTTTGATTTGGAAGGAACCCGTCCCCCCCCCCATACCTGGCCCTCTTCAAATTCTGATATTAGCCATTTTTTTTTTTTTTCTTTTTGATGGGTACAAAGATGTTTATTCTCATTCAGAGAGGTACAAAGTAAGGCAACAATGAGTTCATCACTTGTCACGCTTTCAGTTTTAAAGACTGTATATAAAAGTTTTATAATATCAAGTTTGCGTTAGGATATGACGAAACGGGACTCATACACTACTGATCAGCATATAAATTAAGATTGTGTGTATATTGGAGAATGATTCGGTAATACTGTCAAAATGTACTTTTATAAAATATATGACCCAGTAAAATCATTTCTGATACTTTAAATGATGATAGATTGCATACATGTATTTATATAAACATGAACGTATGTTTAAGGATGCTTATGTTTGCAAATATGCAGTGTATCTCTAGAAAACACATATGATTCAAAAATAAATATGTGAATACGTTTTGACAGTTTTTGACCCTCATAAACACTTAACGGATATAAAAAAGAGTCAAAGTACTGAGAAAGGATTGACTTGTGAAGTTACTTCTTTGAAAAGAGCAGTTACTCTTTTCCCCTCATACCTAATAAAAGGCTTTTGCTTGAGACCCCATTTCCTGGGGTCCAGTAATCTAGTGAGATTGGGCTGATTGACTACTTTGGAGCGGTCATGCCAAAAGAATACTGCTGTACCCTCGAGGGCCCGCGGGGTCCTAAACTCTCCAAGATCATTATTAGCCATTCTTTTCTTTGCCTCAACCATCAGCTTTCCACCTCACTCTATTTAGAGTTCAGCATACTTGTCCCCCGCTAAGCCCAACCTCCCCTGAGTGACAAGGAGTTTGGCTCAGGATCTATCAGTGACTGAGACCATCCAATGCGTCAGGAAGTCATGGTGATTTAAACCAAGAGTCTGTGCAGGATGTAGAATTCAGGGTCAGGTGGAAATCGGGGCCAGGCTTCAAGCCATCTGACCTTTCACGGAAGGATCTTACTTAGCAGCAGGTGTCTGAGGATACAGGCTGTGGGGGAGGGAGTTGGAGTGGAGGACTTGCCAAAGAAGTTAAGCTTCGGAGAATCTCACTCTTGGGAGGATGAAATGTCCAGCACGGAAACAGAGGCAGGCACTCTGTGGCACAAACCCTGGCAATTCAGAGAGAGGAGGTATAGGGAGGGAGCAGAAAATGTCCACAGTTGTACCTGTCTCACTGGTTCTATGGCAGCAAGACAAATTTTAGGCTCCTTTGCGAGCTGGGTTCTTCATGCTAAGGGCCAGGATGGGCTTAGAAATTCAGTGGGTTTCAGCGCCTGGAGCAAATGACAATAACGAAGGGGATGGAATTTGCAAGTGAACATCAGTCTTTAGTTTCAGTGGTTGAGCTGAATAATATTCTCTCCAACCTTTAAGTCTGGCTTTTATTACTCACACATACACTCACACACATGCAATCATTTGCCTGTTTCTGCAAGCTTGGAAGAGAGGCTCATTTCTCCATTTTTTAATTCAACAAATATTTAACAAATACCAAATATATGATTTTGGGGGGGCACTATGAATAAATAAATAAGCAAAAGAGACCAGAGAGAATCCCTGCTTACAAATGAGCTTCTTTGCTGGGAAGAGAAACTGAAAATAAACACATGAACAAGTATATGAAAATACCTTGGATGGTGCTAAGTCCATAGGGAGAAGTGAAGGAGGGGCGGGCAGAGGGTGCAGAAATGGGGTGCAGTTGATAACCTACAGTGCTCATTAAAGGTGGGGACCAGGGAGTGAAACAGCAAAAAGTAAGCAGAGGACTCAGGAAGGGAGGGTAAGCCCACAGCTTCACAGGGAATGGGGCTCCGGAAGACAGACCAGAAAGCGCAGGGAGCTGGGACGAGTGTCCCTGGAGCATTCCAGGGATGTTAAATCAGTGTGGACAGGAGGGGCAGGGAAGAACAGATGGAGATGCATGCGCAGAGGAAGAGTTAGACCAGATCACGTAAGGCGCCATAAGCAACTTGCTCTCTGAGTGAAATTAGATGTTTCTGAGCAGAGGAGTGGAGTATAAGATACGCATTTTCAGTACCTCCGTCTGGCTGCCTGATGGAGAATGTGCTGAAGGGCAGCAAGGACTGATGGAGCGGCACGGCCAGTTCGGAGGCTGTCGGGATGCAGGTGAGAGACAAATGTGCCTGGTCCAGGAGCGGGGCAGTGGATATAGAAGGAGCGGTGGGGTTTTATAATGTATTTGATTTGTACCCAGTGGGATTTGCTGATAGGTTGGATATGGAGTGTCAAACAGGGGTTAAGAAAAACACCCAGATTTTCGGATTGAGCACCCAGAAGAATCAGGTCACTCCTGATGGTTGGAAGGCTGTCAGAAGGGCAGGGATGTCAGAGGAGCAGGTCCGAAGGGTGTTGGGGGTTGTTCAGGAACTTGGGCTTGGAAATGTGAACTTTGAGATGCCTATTAGGGCTTCAGGACCATATTGCAGGTGCGCAGGCAGCGTTCCAGAGAGAATGCTGGTCTGGAGAGAGCAGCTTGGGAGTCATTAGCACATGGGGAGCAGCAGGTAGAGCTCAGGCCCGGGCCACTCCAGCGTTCAGAGCGTGAGGGAGGAAGGCCGACCAGCCCCAGGGATGGTGAGAGAGCAGCTGGGGAGGGAAGATGAAAACCAGCACAAAGGTGTTAAGATAGTTCTTAAGGAGATAAAGGGATCAACTGGGTCACATGTTTCTGATGGGCCAGACCAGGTGAGGCCCACAGGGATGCCCCCTTATCCGCTTGGTCTCCCTGGTGCCCTGAGCAAGGGCAGATTTGACGGAGAGACAAGGGAGACTGTAAGCAAAGCCAGTGCTGTGGCTGCAAGGGGCCAGCGAAGGTGCTGGAGCAGGAGGGAGGTAGGGCGCGGGAGGGTCTCCCGGTGTCGGCTGGCTTTTCCAACCCTGGAGAAATGACAGCGTGTTTTCATGCTGATGGGGATGAGCAGGCAGGGGGAGAAAATTAGTGATGCATAAGAACAAAATTAGAGTTGCTTCAGGAAGTGCTGCCTTCTTAGAAGGGTTTCTGTTGGGGACACGCCCTGCGTTAACAAAGGAGGCCCACCAGGCCTTTCCCGCGTGGCACCTGCTCTAAAGGAGCAGTGCCCCCCTTCCTCACGCCAGGATTTCTGAGCCCCCGAGGATTTCAGGCTGTTAACCTGCTCCTGAAGGCTGACAGCTCAATAGTCAGACAGACACAGACCCAAATCCTGGTTCTGCCATTTACATCTCTATGTGTCACATCCGGAAAATCACAACCTTCCAAAAAGTGTCTATATCCTCAACTATAAAACGGGGAAAATGCTGTCAATCCGCCCTGCAGGACACTGTTAGAACAAGATGAGTCCATGCTAGTAAATCAAAAGCCTCTACTCAAGCCTTGCAAAGAACAGCCCTTCCAAGTTAGCTGTCAGTACACAACGCGCCGGGAGTAGATACACAGCAGCAATATTTTGTGGCAAATAGCAGTTTTACCTGGGATGGGATTTACCTGGGATGGGAGGTGGGAACCTGGACCCAAAACTTAAAAGAGAATGTGGGTGGATATCCACTAAAAATGCTTTCCCAAAGGACGGAGACAAGAGAAGGACGGGGAGGTGTGTGCGCGGGGTGGGAATGGAGAGGATTTCCTGGCTGGAATGGCACGTGGCTCACCAGTGACAAAGAAATGGTGTGGCCTTAAGTCACGCCAGAGCAGCTGTGGGCCTGGGGTCAGGAAGACCAGACCCGGCACTGCGTGCCAACAGACACTGTTTATCGAGAGGTCCCCCAAGTGCTATTGATGAGGGAGCAGAAGGCGAGCTGAGGACAAAGCACAAGCTGACACCCCACCACCCCCACCCCAACTCCCGCGGGATCTGTGTGACATTCCTCAGGCACTGCTGGGGTGTGCTAAGGGAAGGAAAAGCAAATGGTTAACTTACAGAGATCACAGTCCAGCAAGACACGAGTCTCCCTCGGTTTAC